TCATGACCCTCTTGTTTATTTAATACAATATATCATATATTTCCAGCTCTTTTATCGTAATGGCACTAACAAATCAAATGACATGTAGCTTCATTCTTAAACTTTTAAGACAGATTAAATGAAAACTAAGAATCATTGTTCTTTGATACTGTTTAAGCATAATTCTTCATTAACATCAATACACTTCTACTTAAGTCTATTTAATGGATTATACATTTGAATGTTTCTCAATATCACGTCTTGTGAATAAACAGTTTGTTTTCAGTAATGCGTAATATGCCACAAGTAACAATATATAAATAACACATGGATTTGTAGGTAACAGTAAAAATATCATCCCGAGGAAAATACTGTTACCCGAGGCGTAGCCGAGGGTAACAGTATTTTTACGAGGGATGATATTTTACTGTTACTCACAAACCCATGTGTTACTTATTTTATTACCCCGAACAAAAATACTGTGATGATCTGAAATTGTCAACTAAATCTAACTGTAACAAAAATAAACCAAGAGTAACAATAACTAAACTGTCCTTATCTGTTAAGTTTTAAGTGTACTTTAGGTCTACTTGAGAAGTTTTCTTTCTCTTTTATTCTTTAAGCAAGTGATGATATCTACACATCATAAACATACAATAAGCTAGGTTTTATTTAGAAAACAAAACACTAATCCATTTACACGGTTATGATCTGTGAAATGTGATCCTTCTGTTTCCAGAAAATTCTTAGCATGGTTTTTGACAAAATAACGATGATATCCTATGTCTGTCCACCATATCTGTAACGTTTCACTGATTAAAATTGTTAAATAATCCTTTGTTGCATGCTTAAATCGTCTACATGTTCCAGTTTGACACAAAATTATTTACATTGCAACTTCCGTTGAAAACGGATGTTCAATTTTTGACTATTCAACAAAAAGATATTTTATACGCGAAAAGCACACCAGGGTGCGAACAACTAAATTCTATGAGAGTCATAGTTACTCCAGAGAAGAAATTGATGCCCTATCGGGGTTTAACGTCGAAAATAAGAATGAATCGAGAAAAAATGGCGGCCATTTTATTTAGAAAATAGACCACGTGACCAGATTTTATACTGTTAAAAATAATGTTACCTATGTAACAGTACAAAATTCTTAGTCACGTGGTACACTTGCATTAACAGTAAAAATAACTCCCAGAGGCCTATGGGAAATTAGCATTACGAAAAAAGTGAGGGGTAATTATACAAAATATCTTGTGGATATCTTTGTTTAATTAAGAAGCCTTCAGCTGTATCTCCATTATTCTGCAAGAAGTTTGTATTTGATCACAGCTTCATTTTAACGATGCCCATTAGACAATATCAATTCATCTATTTTTTGTTGATAAAACTACATTAAGACCAATATAAGTTATTGTTACATGTTACGGATAAGAATAATTTGCAAATACAATAAAATTGAAGATGATGCCTGTAATTGTTTGAAATAACTATGACATTATCATATTTATCATTTCAACACAAAATGTCATTATTCAATTATTAATGATACATATTATTTCTACAATTATCAAGTGCATAATAATATCTAATGGATTGCTTTACTTTATTTGTTTCAATTTGTGATGTTTACGTGTCCATTCTGAATTACCACTACCGCAATAATTTGAAACAGTTTTCAACGAAATGATATTAGTTCTACTTAATCTCCAAGAAATCAATATTAATTTTGACTACTATTATCACCAATCTTATACGTTTTAAAACGTTACAAAGCTATTGATTTTGTATGTTGAGCATGAATAATTACAACACACCCACTACCGTGTCCAGTTACAAAATGTACTGCACACATTTGAAAATAGGTCGGATTTCATAAGCTTATAATAGTTTATGCATGACCAAAGAAAAAGAAGAGAAATTTATAGAGAATATTTAAATCGACTCATGTTAAGATTTTCTTATCTTTCGTTCTGTTAATAAGGAATACTTGATGTTGAATGTGGGGCTTTTTTAAATAGATGCTGTTTTTCTGCAAAATATTTTAATTTTTTCTTCATGCAATCTGGGTTATTGACACTTATTTGTATCCCAGATGCAATTTCTGAGCATATTCAGATGTAAATTGATGTAGAAACAAATGAATCACACGACCAACCCATATTCCTATCAATATAACGCATATGTAAATTGGATAGGGCTGTAATATCTACACATTATGATAATGGCTATCAGATAAAAAGTGAGAGCAATATACCATTATATTTAACTGATAAGGGTTTATATCGGACGTTTTATATTGGGCGTTTCCAGACTATTCTATTTGAAAGTAAAATTTATTATATGGGACATCCGCCACCGAATGATTAAAATTCGTATACTTCAAATCACTTGCCACTCACCGCTGTAGGTTCGAATCCCGCCAGGGACCTTGTATCGTTCATGTGAGGTAGCGATCTACCTAGCTAATGGAATGCCGGTGGATCTACTCAGGTGACAGTTCGTGCCCGAAATAATGCACGGATGGGTCCCCGAGGTTTTCTTCCATCAGTAAAGCTAGAAAGTCGTCAGTTACATGACCAATATTGTGTTGGTGCGATGTAAAACCAAAAAAAAAAACACCTTACATTCATAACTAGTTTTAATTCGTACATTTAAAGATATACTATGCTCAAATTTGATTTTTAAAAATATTAATAATTGCTACACGGTCTCTTTGTATGTATATAAGAATAAACATGTTTCGACTTCATTTAAAGAGAAATGTTATGTTTTGAACTCTACACACTACAGATGGTCACAATATGAATATATAGTGTCATTTAAAAAACTGGCAGTTTTTTTTAAAGAAGAGACCAACTTTACTTGGCCCGTAATAGGGAATGCAGCTTCCCATACATAGTTTATTCATTATTTTATTCAAATTAAACATATTCAGTAAGAATTTCATGGATTTCAGTACAAATGTCTAAGATGAAAATATTTTACCCAAATCTGAGCATAGTATATCTTTAAATCATTAATACAAACTTGTAGTTTTGATTGCAGTTTCAATCATCTTTACAGTGTATCGTCCAACTGCAATTTGATCTGACACATTTTGATGGAGTAAGAATCCAGAGAAATAGTTGTAATGAAAACCATGGTAGGCGGCAACGGCATTGTTGTTTTGGATGAAGATGTCATCTCCTTTCGTAAGCTCAAACACTATTGATTGGCTTGAAGTGTAATATCCAGCTTCTGTTCCGCTTACGTACATAAAGCTTACAGGACTTCGATTCTTCACGAATTGAGAATGAGCATTTCTGTGGCGAAAAGAAAACAGCGTCGCAGAGAAAACGTAGGTTCCGGATATAGGTCAGCAAAGTTTCCATTTAAGTTGTTGTTGCCAACGTTGGTTACTACTCTGTCGGAAACAAATACCTGGCCAACTCCAGCGTGTTCCATGTGGTTAGATAATGTGGCAAAGAAAGCTACGTTTGTTGTTTCCAACTCGTCTAAACCTAGCGTGGGTGTTTTGTATGTCTGAAATTTACAATAAAAGGAAAAAGATCATTCGGTAATACTCAAGCAACTGCAGATCAATGATTGCGCCTTGTATTTTCCATATTGATATGAAAGTAGATGATGTTTTAAATTCAATATTATGAGGAATTTACGAAACAAAATATCAATACAAGAAAGACTAAAATACTCATATTTATATACATTCCGTCGGAATGAATAGACTTTGCCTTATCATTATTTGTGTTAAATAGGTCATAAGATAACACCAGCGACATTGGAATTTAAAGGGTTTTCGAGATAAGAAACTGTTCTAAATACACTTAATTTACCTAAAAGTGAATTTACCAAACAATGGATCATACTGTCCATTTTGTTGATCGACAACGCTCCGGTTTGACCCGGTAATGTCCCGGATATTGCCGGCAAATCCCGGTTATACAACAGTGATAGACGCTGGCGTCACGACCTCATGCCAATAACAGGTACAAACTCCGTAGGCGTTGTATGCACAGTTTTTCAAACTTTCTTTCCCTTTCCTTTTATTGGCATCTCTACTGTCTTTTTACCAAATGACTGATGTCAACGTGGTCAAGCAGTTTTATTCTCAAAAAGTTGAGTGGGGAAGCATCGTCGCATTACCGGGACATTACCAGCATTACCAGTAGCGTTACCGTGGCGAAATCGGCGATGGTCGGGTAGGACCGTGATGAAACCGTGTGTAGTCGGATCTCCACAGGGATCAACCGGGAAAACACCGGATTAGCATCGGCACTTACCGTATATATACGGTGCTATATCGGGTACTGAACCGGAAATACACCTGGGCTCTGTCGTGGTTGTGTAAACGCAAATTGATTTTTCAGAAAACCACCAATGAACACCCCGGTTCACCGGCTTAGGACACCGTAGTGATACCGTGACATAACCTGGACAGTGTAAATGGGACTTAAGCTGCGGTCTCACCTATATCCCGGCAGAGCCCCGGTAGGCGTCCGGGGTGATCCGGGGACGACCTGGGTACATTATTACTTATTAAATAGAAAAAAATTGTCACAAATATATTTATTTAAAATTATGTATGAACGTCATCATTTTCGCGCGTTTTTAATCCGCCGGGGTTCTACCGGGACTTTGCCGTGGTCGTCCTGTGCTCTGTCGGGGCTCTGCCTGGATCGACCGGGGCTCTGCCTGTGTCAGCCGGGGCCCTGCCGGCGTCATCCGGGAACGACCGGGAAGTACCGGCATGAACCGTAGCTTCACCTGGGCTCTGCCTGTGTGGTCCGGGGCGCATGCTGGGTGTAAGTTGGGAATAACCGTAGTGCTGCTGGGGTAAGTGTGACCGCAACAATAATTTCACCCCGGATCGTCCCAGATCATCCCAGTAATTTACCGGGGTGGTCCTGGACTCTGCCGGTATAAAGGGAGACCTCAGATTTATCCCTTTTCTTGTCGCGCAATTTATTCAATCTTTGCTGTGTCGCATCATTTATTTCGTTTCTTTTTATAATCATACATTTATTTCACGAATTTAAAATTACTTTTCATTTGGCATGGTAAATATCTCTTTGAATAACATTAACAAATTTTTGAAAGGAGATTCTTGCAGTTGTTGGCGAAATTTGTTTATAAATGCTTATTTCTCATTTAAGCGAAAATTTTAATCTATCTTTAAATTTATCTTTTAATATTTAAACAGTAGTAATTCTGGTCAAGGTGTTAATTCATGTATATTGCCTCTCTTACAACACTTACAAGATACAATAAATTAAGTTCGGAATACTTAATAAACTCATACGTTACATAATTACGAAATACATAGTTAAAACTGCAATGCTTTTCCGTTTATTAAATGAAACAATCATTTTATTTCCACAGTCTACTTCCGTCCGAGAACAACTTGGTCTGAAACATTTGGCTGAAGCAGGAAACCGGAGAAAGTGCTGTAATGGTCACCATTGTAGGATTTATCAGCATCGTTGTTTGAAATGCAGATGTCGTCCCCTTTTAGAAGCTCTAGCACTATTGTCTGACTTGAAGTGTCATATCCCGCTTCCGCTCCACTGACGTACATGTAACTCACAGGGCTTCCATTTTTCACGAATTGAGCATGAGCACTATTGTGGTAATGAGAAAGCAACGTGGCCGAGAATACGTATGTTCCGGAAACAGGGGCGATAAAGTTACCATTGAAGTTGTTGTAGCCATTGGCAATGTTGGTCACAACTCTGTCAAAAACAAAAGTCTGGCCAACTCCAGCGTGCTGCAGCTGGTTAGATAATGTGGCAAAGAAAGCTACGTTTTGTTCGTTTTCAACTCGTCGAATCCTTGCACGAGTACTATGAATGTCTGGAATGTGAACAATGCATTTGGATATAGATATATTCGAATGTGTAACAATCATAAATAGACAACTAATGTAGAAATGTTGAATTTATGATAACTGAACCTTCGACACAAAATTGCAATCATGGCTATACAGTCAGGACTCAATATATCGGAATCCATAATTGGCAAATTCAATTAACGACAACCAAATTTTTTCAACGTTATTATAATCCTATTTAACGGAATATTCGTATTCCGACTCCGACACAATAATATTGGAAACCAAACACGTTATTTTCCATACAATCAGTGCCCGTTTTAAACTGTCACTTTGTCAGTCAAGCGCGCGTATCAATTAGCCGTGAACAAAAGCCGCAAGGTGTTAAAACAGGTATTGTGAGCTTGGTCAGTTGATTGTTACACCTTATTGCAATACCAACGTGTTGTTGTCAGCTGAATTTTGTTACACATGCCGGTAAGTTACAAAAGTTCAGGCAAGAAATAGCTTGAACGATGTGATAAACTATTTAGAACAACAGGGTACCCTCTTTGATCCGAAATATTTAGAATCTGCTTCGGCATTGATGTCTGTTTTAAACAATACAAAATCAAACAAGGTTCAGAAAGTATCAAAGACATTTTTCGTTAATTGACAAAGACAACAAACGCTGTGCAATCAATTTTTAAAGGTTTAACTTTTTAAAGGTCCTATCATTGTATGTGCTTTTTATTTTATAAAGTTTTATCATTTTTATATCAATTTTTAACTATTTTAGTTGTTATTATTTTAATAAAGTTTGTGTATTATGTGTATGATATGTAATGTGTATAATAAAGTGAACACATAAACACAAAAATATTTTGCATTATAGATGTATGTTTATTATAAATCTTAATACATAAGTGTATAAGCATATCATTACATGATGAATGATGAAATTCAATATACTGACAAATTCGATATACTGACATATCATTTGGGAACCAACAGTGTCGTTGAAATGAGTCCTGACAGTAGTGATATATTGATCCATTACTGGTATGGATCCGCGACTGAACGTTTATATCTTTGAGATATATCATATAGCATAACGTGTTTATCTTATTAAAATTAATTTATTTTCTTATTTAAACTCGATTATTAAAAAGCTGATAGACTATATAGAACCGCTCTTGAGTCCTCTTTATGGAGGTTACTAATACTGGTGTCAGCCGAGGAACTATAGATCCCTGGGTTGTGAGGCAGATATATTCATAATCAGACCGCCGCTCTTCCAGTGGCATGACTAATCCCGGGCTACACTAGTTGTTTACAAAATTGTTATGATAAAGAGTTTGCGTGTGTTTAAAGTCTTATCTGGAAAAAATGAAATTAACAAACTTTTCAAGAAATGCATAAACTTTAACTAACAGTCTAAGCTTTCTGGATATCTGCGCATTATCGCCAACTATACGTCTATACGCCGTGATTCTTGTAAGATAAATTTGGAATATATAAGACATGATAAAAAAATGATCAAATTGACAGCTTGGTGCGAAAGGGTTGTAACTCCTTTTTTTTATCTAATATGAGTTACAACTCTTTCGCACCAAGCCTTCGAAATAAATGTATTCTCTTAATAGCAAGACGTATGAACGAAAATTGTAAAGTGGTACGAAAAGTGAACAAAACACATATGTTATACTGTCTTTAATATATTTCCTGCTCTTTTATCGTATTGGCACTTACAAATCAAATGATATTTACCTTCATTTTATAAGACGTGTACCATTGTTCTTTTAATAAAATTCAAGCTTAATATTTAATTTACATCAATACACTTCCACTTCAGTCTATTTAATGGATTAAACATCTACATCACGTCTTGTTAATAAATAGTCTATTTTTCAGTCATGTGTATGATATCGCAATTAACGACCATATAAAATGTCTTGTGGATATCTTAATTTAATTAAGACGCCTTCTGTTGTATTTTGTTTAATCTGTAAGAACATTTTATTTGATCACAGTTTCATTATAACGATGCCTTAAGTGCATTGAGACCAACATTTGTTTCTATAAAATGTCATTGAGTTTAATATTAGTTACTGTTATACGTAACTGATAACATTTCATTGCAAATTCAATAAAATTGTAAATGATGCCTTGAATTGTTTGAAATAACTTTGACATTATCGCATTTAGAACTTGAAACACATCACTATGAAATGCATAATTTGGCAAACAGCAATTTTTATATAGCAATCGAATAAATGCTCCAGTCTAACAGAATTGTTCTCACTGGTACTAAATGTCAGTATAGTATTCAAATATTTATGGCGTATAATATTTCTAAAATTATCAAGTGCATAATAATATCGAATGGATTACTTTATTTCATTTATTGCAAAATCGCCAATATTTTTGTTCTTATTTCTAACGCCATTAAAACGATTTAACTGTGGTGCTATTTTAGTATCCTTTCTTAATTTCAGATATAAATTTGATAGTATAGTTTAAGTATCTATTCAGAATTACCACTACACCAATCATTTGAAATAGCTAAACGAAATTACAATAAATAAAAGTAAAACTAAAATAATAATATTTGGATCGAATAAACCCGGTAATTCCCGCTTCCTTCTTCACAACGAACCAATTGAAATAATAAAGGAATATAAATACTTAGGAATACTTTTCTCATCTTCTGGAAGTTTTCTTAAAGCTAGAACATATTAAGTAAATCAAGCAAATAAAGCAATGCATTTACTTTATTCAAGAATATTTAATCTTGATATCCCAATTGATTTACAGTTGAAATTAGTTTACCAAACTATTGTTCCTATACTTACTTTTAACTGCGAAGTTTGGGGATTCGAAAATCTAGATTTAATTGAAACGGTACAAAATAACTTCCTAAGAACTATTACTAAAAGCAAAAAAGTACACCATTATATATGCTATACGGAGAGCTTGGGCGCTATCCAATGGACATAGTCATTAAATCGAGGATGGTAAATTATTGGTGTAAATTAGTTATGGGTAACAGAAATAAAGTATGTTATGATATAATGCTCAATTCTTACACAAGTTTTAAATGGTTAGAGTGTATAAAACAAAATTTAAATAATACAGGTAACACATACATATGGGAAAACCAAATGAATATCAATTTTAAAAAATTCAGTATGACAATAAAACGTACATTAATTGACCAATTCTTGCAAATCTGGAATAGTTCACTTACAGGTTCTTCAAAAGGTCTGACATACCAATCATTCAAATCCGATAATAATTTCGAACGTTACTTCATTACATTACCTTATTATCTAAGATTGACCTTTTCACTTAAGAACAGGTAACCACAGGCTCCCTATAGAAACAGGCAGGTGGAGGCAGCTTTTGTACCACATGCTGAACGAAAATGCCAACACTGTCAACTAAACGATTTGGGAGATGAGTTACATTATATTCTCAAATGTCCTTTTTCCTAGCCTCTAGGAATTATATTAAAACCGTACTATTTCAATAGGACCAATATGCTTAAATTTTCACAACTTATGTCTCCTTAGTCTACCAAGGAACTTATAAATATCACCCTTTTCTCAAGAGAAATAATGACAACATTTAAAAGATAGTCCAAATAAACATAATACAAGTGGTCCAATAAGTTAATCTTTCCCTTTCGTTTCGAGAAAGGTCGGCTGTAAATTGGAGAAAACTCTCCGCATAATAGTTCAAGTAAAATATTTTCCTCTACTTCTACTACACACGTGCGCAATATATTTGATAATGAATAGTATAACATCCTTAGCTCGAAATTCAAATTGCATTAATAAACATACCAGTTTGTTTAATAATCCTTTTTTATGCATTATCCTTTTTTGTTCTGTTTTCTTCCCGATGCACTTAACCTTGTTTAAAAAAAAATCTGTCAAGAACAATGAAATGTCACGAAAAATCATGGAAAGCGTGCCTACTTTAAATAGTAATACTATAGTAAATAAAAATTCCCACGGTATCTGTTTACATTAACTATAGGTTTGAGTGCATTTTTGATGACCTTCATTTGCTGTATTTGTTGTCTTTTAATTTGTCACTATTGTTTTTTTTTTTCATGTGACACCGAGAGCGCGTAGCGCTCGAGGTATTTCATGAAATTCGTGACCAGGTCTTTCCTAAACAGAAAGATCGATGTACGAGGCCGATATCCAACTTACACACCGTAAAACTATATTGGCTTGAGCAATCATTTGATGTAATGCACAAATATTATTATTAACACAGCGCATATACAGGTAAGCTTTTATCAATGTTCTGCTTAAATACATTACATTTTTGCTTTTCCCTTTAAAATAATAATAAAAAAAGCTAAATGTGCAATATGCCAATGAAAAAGTGAATAGGACTGTAATGGAAGGTATGTTAAAGAATGCATAATTATGTTGATATCATTTCGCATCAGACATCGCGGAATCTAGGACATTTGCCCCCGGACAGTTGCCTCCCTCGAACGTTTGCCTCTTTTATTTTGCTGTTGCGACTTGTCACTTGTCAGAGGTCATCTCGTGTATAGATTTTTTTTGTATGTCAATGGAAATATGATAGTTCATTTTTTTTTATGCTAGTTTGATTTAATTTTTCACAAATTTGCGAGAGATTTTTTGTGTATTTAAAACAGCACGCCTCAAGATTCATGTAAATTTTTATGAAAATTTGGAAATGTATTTCAAAGTAAAATATTGTAAGGTGAACAAATTAAGTAATTTACATATTGCAATCGGCACTTACAATCCAAGAAAATAACCAAAAAGTCGTCAACATATGCAAAAGTAGCCCTTACTGCGTTAGCTACTCAGTAGAAAAATGGTAATAAAATACTGCAAAATCATTCGTAAACCGCACTTTACATGAAAAATATAACTTGGACCTTGAATGTTTTTACCTTTCTTAAAATTGTATTACTTTTTTCTCAATATTAATTTTCTTGAAATATTTGGGCTCATCTGGAGGCGTGCAGCTTTAAGGCGATGAACTTTGG